AAAGAAAATTGGACTTGTTTTTTAAGGAAAATGAGTTTGAAGAGTGAAAGAACCTCTTGCAAAAAAACAAAACGGCACCAATTTATAAAACTCGTAGTTTATTCGGTTCAGTGCCGGTGGTTTATTTAGTTTGACACCATTAAGTGCCAGTTGTAGCTCATGGCACTCGAAATGGGTGGACAATAGCGTATTCACCAGCGTAGAACGAATCGATTGGTATCACTAAGTTGTAGAACATTACTTTCATAGTGAATTTTTCAATGAGAGTTTTCATCAATAACTGTTATGTTCGGTCCCTGCTTAGAATAAATTTGAATGACAATTAAATTTTAAATGTTTCGTTTTAATAAGAAAACAACAGTATTTGGTAGCTAATATAAAAATTCTACGAAAATTTCCAGCTGTTCAAATCAACAGTCTAAAGCGGTCGCTGTCGCCGGGTGGTTGAAGGCGCATGCTAACACTCGAAATGGCACAGGTTCGATTCCTCATCTGACCATATTCAAATTTTTTTGTAAATAGCGATTGAAATGCTAAGCCGTCGATTTTATTTATGCCATTAACATTCTGCTCCCAAAATAAGACATCTTACTTGCGTAGCCAGTGTTTACTTGTAGTTGCCTATATTTGTGTGACACGCACACCACAAATTGAAGGAGAAGCTCGGCCAAAGACTAGAAAAAGTGTGTAAGCATCCAATATTTACTTTTTTGTCTATTTAAATAGAATAGGAAAAAATTACGCGTGCTAAAGCTAATTAAGGTTCATGGACATATATTCCCAAGGTACATGTTTGGTAACAACAACAAACAAACGTAGCGATGAGCTGGCGCTAAAATCGTAAAGGTCGTTCTAGAATGAGCTGCGGCTACAAACTATTAATAGGAAATACAAATAGAAAAGATTCAGGGTCTGGTTTGAAACCCGGCTTATCGTTAAAAAATAGGAATTTGTTGAAAGGGAAATGTTGCTAACACTTAAATAATTATGGTAATCCATTTTAAATGGCATATTCTATTTCCCCAAGTGTTAGATATAAAATAAGTAGGTAATCGGAAGTTTGCAAATATGGCAATTTCTTCAAGACAGTAAACATAAAACACCAGAATAAATATCACTTTTCAAATATGCATTTATTATATATATGTATGTATGTATGTATGTATGTATGTTTAATAGCTGCCGCAAATTGTATTAAGAATATAAACTTTCTTTCGCTATTTAAGTTCAGTTTCAACTTGAGCTTCGAAAGTATAGGAACAAAATAGAAATGTCACTTAAAATACAAATTCTACTTCTATGCGCCATTTTCTTTGTGACTTTGGCCACCACTAACGTCGACGCGGCTAACACGACAACCGATGCTGATGCCGATTACTATGATGATGATGATGATGATAATGCTGCAGATGACACAGATACGAGTAGTGTAACGGATAGTTCAGTAGTTCAAGCGAATAATAGTAATAAAGGTGGTAGCGGATCTGGTCGACGAAGAGCTGGAGCTCGCAATGGCAACGCAAAACGTAGAGCTGCACGAAATGCGCGCAGGCAAAGGAGAGCAGCTAACAGAAGAGCAAATCGACAGGTACGCAGCCAGCCAGCGGTACGCAGAAATAACAGACGCAGAAGGGGTTAAGTAGCATTGGAACGCTAAATACATCTATTTATGATTTTGTTTGGATATACATTAATAAATATACATACATACATAAAAGTGTGAAAGTAAATAAATAAAAAAAAATAATAATTTATTTTCAAATGTTTGTTAAAAATTTAAGATAGTTGGTAGCCAATTCAATTTCCTTTGATATGGCGAAGTGAAACTATTTTTCATAACCCCCATAGCCCTTTTTTATAATTGAAAATAACAAATATTAAAAAAAAAGGTTTGCAAATCTTAAGAGCTGAGAAAAAACTGCCTGTATTGCTAACAAGCAAGCCCGTTTAATGTATAGTATAATTACTCAGCACTCTTCTTTTTCTTATGAAACATTTTTTTTTGATTTTTTATTAGTGTAAACATATTGTTCCCAAACTGCGTCTTGCTGAAGACAAGTTTCATTACAGCTGGATAGGACTCACTGATGTTTTTGTTTTCATAGCTAAAGAATGGTAAGTATATCGCTACCACTATAACAAAATCAAGGTAAGAGAAAAGAGTAGAGGAGAGCATGGAGTGGTCCTTTGTGCAGCCTCACAATTTCAGTGAGAGTTTCTTTGTAAACAACATCATATCAGCTGAATTAAACATATGTACATAAAAGCAACATTCAAACTGTCACGAAAAAGTGGAAAATGTAAATTGTATAAATTTATTGACCCAGACGCTACACTGAAACTTTCGAGCGACTTTTCGATGCGGTTTTCGCGACATTCGTTTTAATAAAAACATATATTTTCCGACACCATTTTAATTAAAACAATTTTTTCCGTCTTCTCACCAATTAGAAACAACGAGTGAAGCCAAGTCTCTCAACACAGGTCTTCCTCTTCTTCTACCCCCATTACTGATTATCGTATCGAATTCATTCGACGGCACCTAACCAGCTTAGCCGTTGTGAATTATGTAAAAAATTCGCTGCACAGCAAATCTTTCCATCTTTTTATAAATTCGTAGCGCGCAAAACATCTTCCCTAAAATGTTTCTCTCAAACACTCCAACAGATAAAGCCATCGTTCTTACATCAGGACGCGCATGATGAGGGACTTATAAAGGGTGATTTTCGTTGGTCGACAGATGACGTTACCAATCAATTGCCTACTAAGTTCAAAGTGGCGTTGGTATTCTCGCTATACCGTGCTTTAGCCAAGATTACCACATCAGACCCACGGAGCGTGGGCTTGTTGAAACTAATGATATCAATTTCAAAATTGTTCCTGAGCTTTTTTTTCTGCCGCTCGTATCATTTTCTACAGCATAAGTCCTTTTCTCGCGTATTCCCTCCAAGGTTTGGCCCATAGTGAATTCGTGGTCAGAGTTGAGTTTTTCAGATCCTAAATCCTTCTTGTATGCTCAAATCAGTTCGTTGGCGATGGGCTTTAACCTTTCACACAACCCTCTCATCAAGACCTTGTAAGCGGAGCTCGAAAAGCTGATCACGAGGCAGTTTGCGGAAAAGGCAAGCCACCCTTTTTGTAGATTGAGCGTTCGCCCTAAAATTTTAATCGGCAGACACATTTTTATCCGTCGCATTTTGTATGTTAGCTGCTGTACTTTGGGAGGTCCTCGTCAACATATCTGAATATCCTGCAACCGTCTCGTAGAAGAAGGCAGAATTGAAGTCCACGCAGGCCAGTCGTTGCAGCTTGCTGGCGCGATAACAACAACACCAACCGCGGCTTTCGAGGTGCTTCTTTACCTGTCGCGCCTACACCCTATAATCAAGAACGAGGCTCTTCTCTTTACAGCAGGCTTATACACCCTTCCACCCTCAGGGTTATAGAACAAGAAGATGGGCTGCGCATTAGCTTTTTGGACGAGATTAAACTATACACATAACTTCAAGGTCTTTTTCAAGGTCTTTCAACAGGAACAACTGGAACAGCGAACAGCAGAGCAGTGCTACTCGCTCTAAAACTGCACGAGGTTACTTCAAAGCTTGTTTTGGACTGCCTTCAGCTTTTAATACTTATCGCCTTCAGGAACCGTGTATACCTCATATGGGTACCGAGACACAGTGGAGTCATGGGTAATGAAGTGGCAGATATTCGCGCCAGAAAAGGGGCGAAACTACTTAATCTAGATGTAGAACGAAGCGCAAAATTACTGAGCCAATACGAAACAGGTAACAGACAGGTAATTTCGGTTATATCACCAAGGAGAACGGAGGAACTCCTCCACCTATATGTGAGTTAAAGAAGAAGACCTGTTACAATACAATACAATAATTAGTTGAGGTCGCGGTAACCAAGTGACCTGCGCCCTCCTCTAAATCTAATCTAAGCTAATCTACAATGCAAAAGGCTTTAGGACACTTTTGCTTAGTAGCTCGTCTTGGTTTTTAAATCCTGTGTAAATTGCAGTTATTTTTTGAAAAACATTTCCGTTCATAGTCTTTTAGGCATCTCCCTTAAGCTTTAACGAGATGATAAATTCGTCGGTACTCTTTGGGAATTCCGTTCGTTTACATTCCTGGTAAGGTTGCTGAGTTCTAGTACTGTTCCTGTCAGCCCCAGTTTCTTTAAGGCTTTCTATATGCATTCAATAAAAACTTCTGCTATCAATAAAAACTTTTCTAATAATAAAGTGCGTATATCCAGCAGAAGTACTCAAGAATGATCGAACAAAATCCTAGCCGTGTATTATGCTCAACAATTACTGATAAATTCATAGCCTTGAACAGCCATTTGGCTCGATAGAAACCAATATAATTTTTTTTTATGTATTTACTTAGCTGAAACTGTTAATTTTATTTGCATGTATGTGTGTTCAGACTCGCATAAATTTAACAACTCTCTTCCACCTCCACGCCTTAAGACTGTCAATGGCGCCACAATGTTAATATAATTCGTTTTTCCTCGCTGTCAGTCAAAGCATTTTTTGCACACTTAATTCAAACAGACCGCCAAGCACTCAATTTGTAGTCAATTCATACTCAGCCGCTCCGGACAGTCACAGCTAGGCCTCGTTATTCACATGTTGATCACGTGCCACAAATGTCATGCAACAGCAACGAACGATAATGGCGAAGAATAAATTTATTTACTAGCAATTTGCTTATGTAGCATACTTAAAGGGGCAAACGCGTATGGTTTACACAATTTGTATTTTGTACGTAAATAAATAAGTGTGTAGGAAATAAAGACAACACCAGAATAGGAATCTGAAAAGCTATCAATCCAAAAAATGTCCGCCTTAATATTTGCTTCTTCCTAGTCTGCTTTAAAGATCCAACATTTTTAAATTTTTAGTGTATAATTTCAAAAATGTCAAATTTTTAGTTGTGCCACTTTTGAAACAAAAATCTGTATATTTGTATATAGTATGTAAATTCTACTCACCGAACATTTGCTAGCGTATGTCGTCGATTCTTCAAATATCTACTATGGTATTTCTGCAGATCACCAATGGAGCCTTGTTCAGCCTGCATCTTGGTGGCTGGCAAAAGCTGTGAGCTGGAAACGTGTGGTACCGATGACAAAGAGATGCGATGTAGACCGCTGCTGCTGGCGCTGGTTGCGGTGTTGGTGTTGCTGCCGTTAGAGGCGAGTGTTTCGTTGGAAGTAGCGCCTCCGCTACCGCTGCCACCACCAACGCCACTTACACTGCTGCTACCGCCTGCACCGCCGCCGCCGCCGCCGCCGCCGCTACTTCCACCACCACCAACAGCGCTACTGGGCGCAAGTACCGAACGAGCCCAACCCGATTTGTGTTGTTTACGAAATTTGAGTTTAATGCGCGGCGAAGGAGTCGAAGCGCTTTGGGTGACTAACTCTTGATGACAGTGACACGTGCTGCTGCCGCCAGCACCGCCGCTGGTCGGCGCCGAAATCGAAGTGTTTGTCGACTGTGGCGCGTTTGTGCTTTCGCTGCTATCACTAACGGTATATATTGTACCAACACCGCTCGGATCTGCGTCAACGGGCAGTGAGTATTGCTGACGATTGCCGATATGCTCGGATTCCTCCTCCTCTTCGATGTGCGGCAATGGCGAGGTTTGTGATTGCGAGACACGGGGCGCTGTTTGCGCGGTTGGTGTTGGCGGCGGCGTAGCCTGTTGCTGTGGTTGTTGCAACGTAGCTGCTACACTAGTATGGCCAATGGCAGTGGCAAAGGAAGTCACTGCCGGCACGCTGCTGGTCGATTTAGTTGGTGAAATGTGTTGTGCGCTTGTGACGCTGACACTAAGTGCGCCACTGCTGGCTGGTGTGCCGTGCGAGGCGTTCAAAAAGGTTACGCCAAATGGCAATTGCTGTATGGCTGCGGTTGGCGAAACACTTGCGTCGCTTAATGTTTCCGGTTCGGCTTTGCGTGCCACAATACCGCTGGCAAGTGTGGCGGCTGCGATGTCGGCAACACTTAACGCAGGCGGATCGAGTTCTTCCTCGCTGTCGTTTATTAGCGTCTTCAATGATATGGGCGTAGTTGCCGAGGTGGCAATTGTGTCGGCAAGTGAATGCTTCTTACCGTTAGCTGCTATGGCTGCAGCGGCTTCGGTGTCAATGTCAACGTCTATGTCAGCGTCTACTTCGGCGTAGGGTGCGCCAATCGCGCTGCTATCTCGTTTTTTATCGTACTCAACTTTGGCGTACTTCTTCTGTGCTGCGTTGGTGGTCGTTGTCGTCGTGCCGTTGTTCACATCATCCGCGGGCGTTGCAGGCGAATGGGGCGGACTTGTAGCGGGGGCTGCTGAGCCGCCCCCGCGACAAGGTATACAGCAACGAAACACTGTGCTACTAAAGCACTTTGTCGACTTTGATTTGCGCCGCTTGGCTGATGCCGCTGCCGCTGAAGCCGAGGTTGTCGACGACGACACACAGCTGCCGTTGCCGATGCTGTTGCGAGTGTTGGTGGCAGCGCCACCGCTAGCGCCGCTTCCGCTGCCACTGCCACTGCCGCGTGCGCTTCCACAATTGCTATTGCTATAGATGCTTTGACTGCCGCTGAAGCGCTGCGAGAGGGAGGAAGATGTTAATTTAAGGCACTTAAATATATTTTCTATAAAAAATTTAGCAACCTGTAACAGCATTATTTTCCAATAAGACTTAAAATATAGTTCGTAAAATATGAAGTGAAACGCTGTATTAAACTAAAGTCCGATTCGAGCGTAAGTGATAGGAGTTCGGTTGCATATTTGCTTCGGGGTCTATTAAATTCAGTGTTTGCTTTTTAAGCGCGATTGCATGCTATGCACTGCGGCTTTGCAAAAATTTCCTTCATTAAAGTTATGAAATGTTTGCACATGCACTTCTCAACTGTCATGTAATAAAATTTTCTTAAGTTATAATTTGATGACACTACAAGGTATGCTCGGCCTAGTCTGATGCATCCTTAGGACACTGCTTGCTTGGTGTCTTTTGCGGGCTCTGCATGGTTGATTACCATTGGCCACAGTGCCTACCCATTACTCTTTGGTCCAATAAATAAAAAAATTTGTATACGCTGGTCTCCCTACTCACTGAGTCATTTACTACCCTTCGAGCCGAATGCTGTTTCCAAGGACGCGGTTGGTTGTGCAGCTCTGGTACTTGGCCGTTTGCCAGCCTTGTGCGCCTTCTTCTGTCTCTCACTTCCCTTGTTGGCGGGCGCCTGGACTGGCATACGTGCCTTCAATGGGGCTTTTCTGGCAGATGCACGGTGCTGGGGTTTCTTATTCCGTTGGCCGTGCGCGCATTGTTGTTGGCTACCTCATGCATGTGTGATGCGCGAATCCGCAAACCTGGTCCTTCGATTCGGAGGTACTGAGTCATTCAGTTGGTAAGAGTAAGCGTGTTTCTATTTGCATGTATACATATCTAAGCTAAAAATTTGTATGGGGCTGTAAACGATAAATTTTAGGGGGCCGATATATATATTGGTTCAAATAAATGTGATGTTTTTTTTTAATATTTGTAATGTTTCTCGAACGGAATTTTTGTTGTTGTAAATCTATAAAAACACCGTCCAATCCATAACCAAAAGCTAATAAAGCACAGTTTCAAACTTTATCTAAAATTTTAGAAAATTAAACAAAATTTCATCAAAATTTTAACTTTTTAATCTTTTTAGGTATGCTCTTTTATAGCCCATACAATTTTAGTCTAATGAAGAGCAAGTTTTAAACAAAAACTTCTCCGAAAAAAATTTTCAAAAATCAATTTTTTAGCCGGTATGGGCTCTAGCATGCCTACCTAAAAATATTCTTAATATTCAGATTAGAGAGTTAAAAATTTGTTGAATGTTCCCAAATTTTGCATAAAGTTTGAAACTGGGATTTATACTTTTAAAGCTTGGAGGGTACTTTTATAGAAAAAATAAATAAATTTAGTTCGAAAACATTACAAATATTTAAAAAGAATTAACACGAGGTCATTTTTTTTAGTCACTGCGTCTATTTTAAAGCTGAGAAATTCTTCACAATTCTTCAAAACCCAAGAAGCTATCGAATATCGATTAAAAAATGCAAAAAAATTAAGCTGCTATATGCCAGGCCTTTATAATTTCTAACTAGGAAATTAGGGAAGGTTCGGAAAATTTACCAATAAAAAGCGATAGATTACGAAAACCAGCGAAGAAAAGAACGCGGAACCAAGGCAGCAAGCTTCCAGTTCAGTTCAGGCTGAAATCCATAATAAAATTTAAATTTTTTTTCTTCCTCAACAAACATTTACCTTAAATTTCCAGGCGCATTTCTAAATTATATTTCCATAAAAAGAAATGTAGCTAACGAATGGATATTCTGCCGAAATTCACAATAAAATCTCTATTTTGCAGCTAACTAAAACCGCCACGCCTATTTGTATAGGTTTGTCGCCTTCACCAAAAATCTTCCCCAACAAACATTTTTACTGAAAGGGTATTCAACGTAAACTGCAATATATTTTACATGATTGCAAAAGTGCGACCAAAATATTGACTTTAGTATAATACCATATTTCACTTCATATTTATTACTATAATATGCTTAAGTTTTATACATAAATGCATTCACTTAATTTTTATATGTTTTTCATCATTATTTTCTCAAAATTACTTAATAGGGATATTCATCTAAAGACACAACAGTTGACCACGTTATATGAATACCCCTAATGTAATCATTACATTTCGCATTTGGAAATTCAAACGACATTTATGTGTTAAAGCGATGATCAGTACTCGTACGTAAAAAAATTTACTAATTTTTGTAATTCATTTCAGTTTATATCGCCTTTTCACTATGTATTATCATCAGTAGCAATATTTTATAGCCAAACCTTGCCGCCAGCCGTCGCTTGACTTTTTGCTGTGTGGTCAATTTGTTGCTGCTTTTCAAATTTTTTTGTGCCATTTTTAAAACCGATATGAAAGTTTATTTTTGACAAAAGCATTATAAGAAGTGCTCTTTGTGAATTGTCTAAGCAACATACACGTAACTACACCGCACTTCCAACACTTTTCACATTGCTAGTGCATTATTGACTTATTTTCCAATTCTTTTCGCTTGATTTTGGGCATATGAAGATAAGTTTGATTGATTGTTTTATTGAATTTTTTTTTGTGTTTATGATCGTTTTTAGTGCTCAAAATCGGCTGAATTCATTCATTTACATAGATAGGTGTGTGGTGCCATCATTGTCATTGTTTTCGCAAGCAATTTATTGTTTGATCTGCAAAGAAAAGAGAAACAATGAATTAAAAATTTGGATTATAATAGAAGTGGGAGACATTTTAATAAATATTAAATGTATATATAGATACATTTGTAGGATTTGAAACATATTTTTATTTTTATTTTATGTATTAAGGAGAACCTTGTATTTGAAGTAAGAGCTTCAGTTGCCTTATATTACTTTCTTTACGGAAGTTGCAGCTGTTCTCGCTTACACATTGCTAACAACCAACGGTCAATGTCAAGAACACTATAACAAAAAGCAAATAACAAACAGCAGTTTTTTCTTATTTGAGAATCACACTTTTAGAACACTGCTTCCGCAAAGTTTTTGGAATAGTTGGTTTATATTTAGGCACATAAATACATACATAAATACATGTATGTGTACATATTTAACTATAGTACTTTTTGGAAAATGTGTAACAAAACTAGTTATAGAAACCTTCAGCTTTCCTTCAGCGAGACCTTAATCTTAACCTTCATGTAATACTCATATAAGTATGTATGCTTATATTAATTCCATACCGCTGAGTAACTCGATACAGTAACGAGTCGAATTGACTACAAGAACCACTCTCAAGAATCTACCAAAAAAATCGACCCAACTAAAAACGAGGTCAAGTAAAAAGGCTGTTTCAATAAACCCACTTAATAATTTGAATAGACATCAGACTGCAAATGTCTGAACGTACAGATCTAATTGCTATTATTTACATTTATAACAAACAGCCTACTTTATTTCGGTTAAGCCGTAAGATGTTCTAAATTTAATTTAAAAGCGACACAAATTGTTGATTAAAATCTAATTGCAATTGAGTTATTGCGACGAGTAAACGTAGAGCTCCTAGCAAAAAAAATGCCAAATAAAAAATTCATCTGCTTGATACTTTTATTAATAGTGCTGTGCCAATCAGCATGGTCAGCCAATATCGAGGAGTACGCAACTTCATTTACGGTGCCACAAGCAAATGACTACTTCGAATGAACTTTCTATGAAGACTTTGCGATGCAAATTTTCGAAGTAATGGAAGAAAGAGGGGCTTAAATTTATTATTTAAATGGTATTATTTGCGCTAAGGAAAAATTATGTAATTTTAATTTAAATTAAAAGGGAGAAACTTAAATAACAAACTTTTAATATTTCGAAAAAAGTAAAGATAAAGGTTTATCTGATATAAAAAATTTAACAATTTTTTAGACATAAGAATAGACAGGCATAAAAATCAATGCTTGCAAAGGCAAAGACCGTTGCATATTCACAAAAATATCGAAAATTCCGATATACGTAAAACTTGAAAGATCACAAAAAATCACAGAAGTACCCGCAACAAACATAAAACTGAACTTGTCACTTTTGCTATCCCAAGAGTCTTGAAATCCTTGAAACTTTCTGAATGTCAACAAGTGTGAGCAAATTTATTCTCATCCCATCTGCGGCTCTCACCTTATTACTTCTAAAGGACGGGAAATCTATGCTGCTATCAGAAATTTCAATTAATTCCGATCTCGTCGGGAATCCCTCAATCATTGCGGATATTTAAAAAAATAATCAACATGTGAACGCTTGCTTGAGTCACTGTATATTTATACTGTTCTCTCTGAAAAATCGTTACTCTCTCATCAAGCTGGCATACCCCAAGGAAGCATTATGCGCCCAATAATATTAGTCTGTTCCAATAGCAGGCCGGTTTACAGGATTTACTCTCGGAACTTACAGGAAGTCGTTCCAATAGCCATAAAACATGTAAGTAGGAACACTTTTAAGAGGGTAACTGAGCAACTGTTCCCAGTCAGAAGTTACAATATACGGAGTACGGAGTTGTTCTTCCTGTAAGTTCATGAAAAGTGCCAAAATATGGACAGGGTTGCATTTATAAACAAAAACAGCACGCGATGAAAGCAAATAACCCTAACTTTGTTAAACAATGGAAGTAAGCAGCGAAATATTTGAATATTAATTATTCTTCATTGATTAGATTTTCACAATTATTTAATGATCTTTCAGCCAAATCAGTGTTGTACCAACAACATGTTAAAAAACCGACTGACGTTTTTGCAGAAAATAGTCATTTTTGCGTACCCGAACACATCTGCATCTGTTCTCGTTTTACTCTCACTTCAGAGAGTTAAATTGTAGTTTGACAGTTCCATAGCTTTTAGTCCGAAGTTCAAAGGAACAGGCTATATGTATATGTAGTCTATACATATAATCTTCCTATTTAGGAAGGAATGACTATCGCTGGATTCTGACCCTCATTTGGCATCACTCAAACTACACAGAGGTTTAATTAAGTTAGCTATTTGCCTAAAAATTGGCGAATGAAGCCAAATGAGTCAAAATGTGTTAACAGGTAACATTAATCCTCAAGCGAGACCCCTTCCCAAACATTACACATACAATATATAGCACAAAGTAACGATATGTGCTAACTTGATATGTACTTCGAAATAAAGACTTGAATGACTGCTCTTTTTCTTATTACGCCCATCTATTTCGATTCCTTCTAGGCCATAATGGCTATAATTCCCTTTTTGTGGTAAAAAATAAAATCATATGCAAAGCAATGGTCGTATATCTCGTATCTTCATTCCCTCAGTATACCGAGGCTCGAAAGACCTTTGCCGTACCTCTCCTATCGGGGCGTCGGAACCTGGTTCTTTCATAGCAGATAACTTCTGCTAGTGCTTCTAGGCGGGTTTGGTTTCATAGAAATTTCTTAGATTTTAGAGAATGTCCCTGGATTGATAATTCTTTGCCAGATATAGATTCACATCCAACTCATTTCTAGACTCTTCGCAGGAAGTTCTCAGAATTTCAATATCTAAATATATTTCTTTACCAAAGGCCCACAGACTTTCCTTCTTCCATTATCAGTTAAATTATGCTCACATTCAGCTATGCAAATGTTGGCTGAAAATGACAGCCGTTTGCGAATTTTGGAAATATTACCATAGAGCTGCATTATTACTCAATGGTTGGCTGTTCAAAACTAACCACCAAGAAGATATTCTGTTCGTTTCTCCGAAAAAAAAACTAAAAAGTGCCTTTCGTCTGCCAGTTTCCATTTCAACGGTAATTAACTTCAAATTCGCAAAATCAAAAAGACATTAACAAGAACAAAAGAACAACAACTGTAATTGCAATAAACAATTAGCAGAACTCAAACAAGCAATGGCCTAGAAAATGAAGTACCAAAAAAATGTTGTCAGCAGGTTGGGAGAGAGTTCTCAGTGGCCATTTAGCCAGAAAGTCAGTCAACAACATCGTTAACGTCAGTGTCAGCCGCCAGTGTCAGTGAGGTAACAACAACATTAGAAACAACGATAATTGGCAAAATTAGGTGCTGCTACGGGTTTAGAAGTAGATTGCCCCCTTAGAGTTGGGTTAAATAGTTGTTGTTATTACTCTTGACTCTTTGCCAAATTTGTTTATTACAAATTACGAATATTTTATGAATGTTGGTCAGCGCTAAGCAACGGCAACGACAAGGTAAATATTCACTGCCTTCCAAAAATTTAGCAAACATTTAGCACAGCAACCAACAAATACTTTATAAAAAACTTAGTTGTAAATGAGGCAAAAAACAACAATGAGAAGAAGACGACGTGAAATGCAGCAGCAACAACAAGGCTGACTAATTTACTTATCGCATGGCAATTACCAGAATATAATGCCTCATTGGCGCGCTCAACCAGATAGTAAATAAGTAGGCAGAGAGGCAGGAAATTTTCGGCTTGTGCGGCAGCTCAAAATGTTGACGGCTGCAATAATGATGGGCTGCCTTTTCGGGCTTCGCATTGCATAATTTGCTCATAATGGTTTTGTCGACCGCGCAAAGCCTTTTCTGTTAATATTTTGTGAAATTTTGTTAATTCCGCTTAAAACATAGCTAATACTCTTCATGGCAGGCTGCTAATTTATTTTGATAATTTTCTGTTGCTATTTAAAAGCACACAATTTAGTGAAAATGTGTGTGGTAAAAATGGAGGGTAAAATTAATTACGAAAACATTGTCACTTTTTGACAGAGACAAAACACTTTGACATTTGCCAGATTTAGGGCATTTAGTTTTCAAATTAAATTTGATGAAAAAAAGCAGTGAGAACATATGCGTCCCTACTTATTTTCTGGCGAATAATATAGCAATTGAAAAGTTACACTTATTAAACACAACCAAACACAACTAATTTTATTTTATTTTATAATGCGACACAAAATTCATTCTTTATATAACAATGACCATGTGGTGGATTTTTTTTTTTATTCATAATGTATTTCGAGATAAATTTCTTTCTGTTATTTTTCTATATAAATATTGTCCAAGCTTTAACGAAAACCATATAAATTACATTTACAAACTTTATAAAAAATTTAGGAAAATTCCACAAATTTTCACTAAAATTTCGACTTTTAAATCTGAATCTTTAGAACATCTTTGGTTATACAGTTTTCTAGTCCACAGAAATTTAGTCTTATTAAGTGCAAGTTTCAAACGCCGTAATATTTATCGCCGAACTTGTTTCTTGAACTTGTGCTCTTGAACCCTTTTACTATTTATTTTTTTACGCATTAAACTTTTTGGAAAACAACTATTTTTCGGCGTAATTTGGTAGAAATTCTTTTTCCTTTTCCGGAACTCTGGAACTATCGCAAAGGTACTCATAACAGTTCTAGTTTTTACTTTTTTCAAACACTTCTTAAAAAAATGTTTTTTGCGCAATTTTGTTGAACTTTCTTCCTTATCAGGAACATTAGCACTACTGAAAAGCTACTAAAAATAATTCTAACTTTTTTCAAACATTCAACTCTTTCGAATTTTTTAAAAGAATGTTTCTTTTGGGCTAACTTTACAGGAACT